GGTTGGATATGGATGAAATAGATGATGAAGAAGCCATGAAGTGCCTCACGTTTCCATTCGCAAAGCATGAGCCTGATGTGTCAGCTGAACAGCTGATGGAATTGGATGCACTTGCTCACTCTCTCGAGATCAAGCGCCTCTTCAACTTGGGTGTCTTGACAAGTGCAGATGAGGCACCAGCCAATGCGAAATCTCTTTCAACAAGGTTCGTGCGAACATGGAGGGAGAAGGTGGTGTCAGGATCACCAGTGTGGCTCAGACGGTCACGTTTTGTGGCACATGAGTTTGCCTGGCTACAACCAGACCGTGATGCTTTGTTTAGTCCTGCTTCTTCAAGCATCGTGGCCAGATTGCTTCCGGCAATGTTTCTTGACCTCAGAGATCGAGAAGATGCCATCATGGCCTCCATCGATGTCAAGGACGCCTTTCTTACAGTTCCTCAAGAAACACCGACTACGGTCAGATGCCAACTTGCAGATGGCCAGACAAGGGACTACAGTTTGGGCAAAGTCTTGCCAGGACAGCGGGATGGCAGTTTGTTGTGGCATAAAGCCATCACTGGAGTTTTGAAGTCTGAGTTGAACATGTCAGTGCATGAGCCATACCCGTGCATCCTCAAGACGCCTGACAACAGCTGCATTGTTTTGATCCATGTGGACGACATTTTTGGTTGTTGGTAAAAGGAAGTTTGTGATGGAACGTTTGGTGAAGTGCCTTGAGAAAACCTACACCATTTCCATTCAGTTTTTGGAGAAGCCTGGTGATGAACTCAGTTTCTTGAAGCGCACTATGACGATGCAGAATGATGGCAGACTTGCCATTCAAGTTCATCACAGGCATGTGCAGCACCTTTGTGATCTACTCAAGCTCAACCCCAAGTTGCAGAGCAAGAAGACGCCTGGGCATGCAGATATGGATCAAGTCGACGAGACAAAGGACTTGACCCAAGCTCAGGCGACCACTTTCAGGACATGCGTGGGAGTGCTCCTCTACTTGGCATGTGACATGCCTCACTGCTAACATGTTGTGCGTCATTTGGCCACCTACAGTACCAAGCCTTCAGAAAAGAGCATGGTGGTTCTTCGACATCTTGTGGCCTATTTGGCCAGCCATCAGGAGTTATGCGTTTCTCTCAAGTGGCGTGGCCGCAATGTTGGAGTGTACCACAACTATGATGACTTGGAGCCAGGCTAGTGTGCTTTAGAAGTTTTTGCAGACAGTGACTGGGCAAGTGACCGTGGCTCCAGACGATCCATTTCATGTGCAACAATTTTCATGGGCAGATGCCTTTTGTTTTCTGCCAGCCGCACTCAGAAGCTGGTGTCACTTTCTTCAGCGGAAGCAGAGGTCTATGCATGCTCAAGCCATCCTTTTGAGTCGCCTTGTGAGTTGGATGACTGGAAAACGTACAGTGATATGGTTGTACACTGACAGCTCAGGCGCCCGTGGAATTTTGCAAAGACGTGGAGTTGGACGTCTTCGACATTTGTCTTGCAGAATCCTTTGGCTGCAGGCCTTGGTGGAGACTGGAACAGTCAAGCTGTCTTCAATAGCAGGCAGCATGAACCCAGCTGATGTGGGAACAAAACGCTTGCCAGCTCCAAGAATGCGCTCTCTGATGTCAACTTTGGGCATGTACAATGTTCAGGCTGGAAGCCTTGAAGGCGCTGATGACCCAGCTGGCATTTTCAAAAAGAAGGGCAACGTTGCTGGCCAGATTGCAGCCATCCTAAGCGTCTTGAGCCTGCACCAAGTTCAAGGTTGTCAGACTGACAGCAACAACAACTATGGTGATTTGTCACCCAACTTGGTGGTGTTTTCTTTGATGCTGGGATTTGCAGTTCTTGTGTTTTGCAGGTTGCTTGGATTTCTACAGCGACAGCGTTTTGACAGGGCAGAGCCAGATGCTGAACCAGCCATTGGCCGTACAGACCTAATCATGGAAAATGTGGAAGAGTCCAATGCAGTTGTCAATGAAACTGCAGCCTCATCCAGTGCCACTCCTGATGATGCCACGCATCAGCTCTCCTTTGCCATCCCAACAAGTTCAACCGACTTGCCAACACCAGAAGGGTTTCTTCGTTGGCTGATTCTACGATGCCTTCGGCGCCTTGAGAACTCCAATTTGGACCTTTCGAAAAGGAACATGTATTTGGAGCGCATTGCAGTTCTTCAAGCGTTACAAGGTGCTTTGGAGAATCCTCTTTTCAGAGCATCAGCAATGCGCAATATGGCACAGATGGCAGACATCAGTGATGATGAGGAATCCCCCAACTACAGGGGTAGCCAACCAACCTCATTGGGAGATGCGCAAAGAGCTCACAACTTCTTTATGATGCTACGTGGACAGACGTCAGGAAGCAGGCATGTGGATTCAGTTGTGGATGCCCTCACTAGACCAGTGAAGCCCATGGAGATGAGAGTGGAGAAGAAGTTTCTGATGAACATATGGAGACAGCTTCTGAAGTCAGAAGACGATACTATGGATCTACACAGGATCAGGTGTCAGACCCAGACCTTTGGGCACATCTCCACTACGCTGAATCACTGATGAGGAAGAAATTTGAAAAGCTGAGATGAATCTACCCAAAAGGGATCAGTACAATGTCAGCCAGAAAGCTTTGCTGGCACTGCGCTACAAAGATGAAATTTCAGTGATGGGGCAGGCCCGAAGATAACTTGGATCTTGGGTGGCCCAAGAGTTTTCACTTTGAGGAAATTAGAGTGTTTCAGTTGGTTTCCAAGAGGTCAGCCTCAAAGAGGCATTGCAAGTCATGGCACACCAAAGAGTGCCCCACGCAGCTATGGCCCTTGGAACTTAGCTACCAATTTCTTTTGGATTTTGTGCGACATCCACCAAAATGGCGGTGTCGAGGCGGGGTGCAACATGTTTACGCACCTTGCATCATGTCACATAACATGTCAGTTTTGCCATTTAACAGTGATTTCACTTGTGGTGCAACACGCACAAAGCAAGAAGTGTATTCAGACGCTTTTGGCTGAGCGAAAGCAAACATTTTTAGGTCTCACAGCATGTACAAGAAGCGTAGAAGGCGGTGTGTTTCCGGAGGAGTCAATGCTTCACCGCGCTCCGCGCGAGAGGTGTTGGCGAACCAAGGCTTTGTGTAGCGTTGCGTCCTGCGATGTAAAAAGGCCAAGATCTAAAAAAATTGAATCGACCATCCCATTCTCTTGTGGCCGGTTCCTTCAATAAACCGGCCATGGGGGATGTGAAAAGGATGGAGGTAGAATGCATGTGACATGTACACAGTGGATTGCACTTGTAAAAACGCCAACATCGTGTAAAAAACTGATTGCCGTCATTGCATGCCGATTGACACGGGCTTGTTGTGACACCAGCACAGGTTACGAAGATTGATAAGCAGTAAAACTCACCCGAAACAGGGGTCAACCTGTTTGCATATATGTATAGTATATAGAATATATATGGAGTCCGTCCTAATAGCTGTAACAGTCAAAAAACGGATTTCTCTATATTTTGGGCGAACGTTGTTTTGAGTGTTTTCCTTCGTGCACAAAATCGTGCTTTTCGGTGCTTTCCCTCGTGCAAAAAATCGTGCTGTAGATCGTGCTTTTTGATGCTCTCCTTCGTGCACAAAATCGTGCTCTAGATCGTGCTTTTTGGTGCCCTCCTTCGTGCCACAAATCGTGTTTTTTTCCTTCGTGCATTGAAGCAAACATCGTGCTCTAGATCGTGTTTCTTGGTGCTCTCCTTGGTGCCACAAATCGTTTTTTTTTGTGCGCTCCTTCGTGCCAAAAATCGTGCTCTAGCTCGTGCTCGCTGTTACAGCTATTAGGTTTGGGCAAAATATGTATACATATTTAATACATTGTTATACATCTATGATATATAATGTGTATATGTACATGATTTTTGATATACATAAAAAACATACATTATATAAAACATACTTGATATTTAGTATACATTAAACAATAAATATATATATATATATATTAGACATTTTATATATAATATACATTATATATTATATACATGACATATATGTATGAATTCAAAAACATAAAATAATATGCAATATTTGTTTTTTAAACATAATATAATATAATATAATATAATATGATATAATAAATCTACTAAAATGTAATATGATATAATAAATCTAATAAAAATTAATATAATATAATATAATATAACATAATATAATATATAATATAATATATATAATATATTATAATATAATATAATAAACCTAATAAAAATTAATATAATATAATATGTTACAATATAATATAATATAATATAATATAATATAATATATAACATAATATAATATAATATATTAAAATATAATATTTAATATATTTTAATATAATATTTAATAGAAAAATATTATATATAATACATTATAATATTATAATAAAATATGATATCATATGATATAAAATAATACAATATATTATGATATAATAAAATATACTAAATATAATAGATAATTTAATACAATATAATGCAATATAACATAATATAATATAATATAATATCATAGTGTATATATATGTGTGTACACATACATACATACTTATATATACAGGAACCGCTGCCCCAATAAATAGATTACTTGCGGCGTTCTCAAAATATTTTGTGAAAGGCAGTTCCTCAGCAAAACCAAGGGGGTTCTGAAAAAAATGGACGGAAAAACAAAAACCTTTTGTGTTGACCTCCCACCAAGTATTAAACACTTGTTTTTTGCTGTTTGATGTCTGTTGCACATGCCCGCTGATTTCTCCGTTTATTTGATTGCAAATCACTGATTGTCATGTGCAGCATTTGCAACATTTGAAGTCCGCATGATTTGCGAAGCAACGACTTCTCATTTTGTTATGATAGCCACGAAACCCAATCACTTGAAAAAAAATATATAAATTTTCATTCAAAATACGGAACGTATCGTCATTTTCATCACGTTGAACATTGGCAAGCGTATCTGTTTCAAAGACAAAACAAACTAGTTGGTGGGCCAGCTTGCAGATTGAATCCGCAGATCCGAACGTGCACCCCTTAGCCAGCAGCACGAACGTGCCGAACGTGTTTTGATTGTAGTTTGGATGAAAATTGCTACAATTCCATCTTGTCCCAGCCTAGTGATTTGAAGTAAGCACGGATTCGGTTTATCAACTGTTCACAGATTTGTTTGCTGTGATTCAATGTCGTAATTGATTTTTTTGATAAGATTTTTTTCACTGAAGTGACCCATGCTACAACAGTCAGGAGATGCAAATCCTGGGTCATCACCTGTCAGAGGCGTGCTGACTTAGCGACTGGTTCACAGTTTTTGTATCTACTTATCCAGCAATCACCTATCCATATATCTTCCTATCCACCTAAGGCCGTATCTCTCTCAAAAACTGTCGTTTTGTCTCGCTTGTAACTGTGACTGGCTCGATCCATCATAATCATTCTGATAACCAACATCATCATCTTCATTATGTTCACGGTTATCATCGTGATCACCACGATCTCATCACCATCAGTTTCAGCAGTTTACATATTATCTGCACCATCATCATCATCAACATCATCATCATCAACATCATCAACTTCATCATCAAACATCATCATCATCATCAACAACAGCAACAGCAGCAGCAGCAGCATCATCAGTATCACCATCATCAATGCCATCATGAATGAACACTTTCATTGTTGTCATCCTCACTGTTAGCCGCATCACCACTGTCAAACTGTCACTGTTAACTTGAATTTCCTTTTCTTCTTCTTATTCTCATTCAACATGTTTGTTTTTTAATTGGCACAATTATTATTATCATCGTTTCTGTCACTTGCGAATTGTATCTGTTTTTAAGTAGGAAGGTTACTGTATTTATTTTTTTTTCGCGGCAGGTTTTTTTTTGGGTTCCTGGTTCTATGCTTTCCTGCTTCTCTGATTTTCTGCTTCTCTGCTTTTCTGGTTCTCTGCCTCTCTGCTTTTCAGCTTTTCTGCATCTCTGCTTTTCTGCTTTTCTGCATCTCTGCTTTTCTGCTTTCATTGCTTCTGTTTTTCCTGCTTCTCTGCTTTGCTGCTTCTCTGCTTTTTGCTTTCCCTGCTTCTTTGCTTTTCTGCTTCTCTGTTTTTCCTGTTTGTCTGTTTTTTTTGCTTCTCTTCCTTTCTACTTCTACTATTCTACTTTTTTCTTTTCTTCAGTCATGTGTTTTTGCTGCTCTACTTCCTGCTCCTCTGCTTGCTTGCTTCCTGTCTTTACTGTCTCTTTGTTTTTCATTTTCTTTTGCTTTATTCTTTCCTGTTTGTATCCTAAATGAAACCCTAGAGAGACCCTAGGTGAAACCCAAAGAAACCCGAAAGAAATCCTGATGAGCAATCCTGATAAGAAACCCTACATGAAACCCCAATGAAACCTAAAACAACAATAAATTAACCCTAAAAAAACTTTAAATGACACCCTAAATGACATCCCAACGAAACCCTAAACGGCACTCTGAGAAAAAACAACTAAATGAAACCTTAGCTGAAACCCTAAATGAAACCCTAAATTGACACCCAAAAGAAACCCTAAATGAAACCCTAGAGAGACCCTAGGTGAAACCCAAAGAAACCCGAAAGAAATCCTGATGAGAAATTCTGATAAGAAACCCTACATGAAACCGTAAAGCAGCCCTAAGGAACCCACTTGAACGTTTGAAGTACCAAAATGTAGCAAATACCATGCAAATGAGAGGCTGAAGTGCCAAAATGTTGCAGATACCATGCACAATGCAAAGTGACCATGCCAAAATGAAGCAAATACCATGCAAAATGACAGATTCTAGTTCCAAACTGTTGCAAATACAAGGCAAATGATACCAGGAAACAAAACAAACAAATCCAAAACCTGAGGCAAAAAGTGCAAAAACTATTCTACACCCTTCAAATTATGATCATGATCATATGCGCCATCATCACGATCATGATGATCACCTAGGTCATTATCACCATCAACATCATCATCATCATCATCATCAGTCGTGTCGTCATCATCATTCTTCTTATGATTATCATGATCACAATTGTCGTTTTTTTCCCCAAGAGCATGAGCTAATGGGGCGCCAGGTCAGGTCAACAGGCTTCCGGAAAACCGGTCAACAGGGTTCCGGAGAAGGTTCCAGGAAGCCTTGGTGCAAAGCCAAGTCAGGTTCAACGGGTTCCGGAGAAGGTTGCAGAAGCTAAGCCAGGTCAGGTTAGTTTTTAATTCACGGAAACCCAGCTGAGGTGTTTCCAGCGCTTGGCTTCGCAGCACGCTTCAGAAAGATTTGTAAAAATAAAACGTTGCGGCTGTTGGGGATACCACTGAAGCCTTTTTTTAACATCATAGTTTGTCCGATCATTTTGAGCCAACAGATCTTCGAGTTTTGTTACATGTGTGTGAAGTCCCAGTGAACGTGATTGCCTCACCCCACCCCACCCCAGCTACCAACTTGCGTGAAGTCCCTGTCCGCCTACCTGTCTACCTAAAGTATCTACCCATCTACTTATCTATATCTTTGTATGTATCCTCTATGTTTGTCTTTATCTTTATGTTTATCAAACTGTTTATCCCTATGCCTATATCTATGTTTGTACCAATTTCTAAATCTATGTCTATATCTATCTCTCTGTGTCCGTATCTATATCTATGTCTATCCCTATGTCTAGATTTATGTATATATATATATATATTAAATATATATATATATGTATCAACTTTATCTATATCTATGTCTATTTTCTCAATATCTACAGGAACCGACAGAATTATGGAAAAAAAAAACGTTTCAATTTACAGGCGCCGCCTGTCTATGATAGAAAAGTTACGAACCTTTTTTTTTTTCCATAATTATTTTTTTTCCATAATTCTGTCGGTGACTGTATGTCCATCGATTGGCAATTTGAATGCATTTTAAGGGGGAATATTGAATTATAGAAAATATGTGTCTAAAGATTTGGTAAATGCCCCTAAGTCTTCCATTGATATACATAATATCATGTGATGTTCGCAATTTGAATGCATTTTAAGCCACCAATTGGGTTGATACTACATACTTGCATTTGCATACATATTTCCATAACCCCCAAAAAAAAGGGGTTTGAATTGTGGATCCATGACATGTCCAACAGGTGGAGCCCCAAACATTAATTATGGAAAAAAAAATTATGCAAAAAAAAATTATGGAAAAAAATAATTATGGAAAAACCGGTCAATCTGCCCTAGCCCCCTGATTTTACAGGAAAAATCAATTATGGAAATAATGGCCACCTCCAAGAATTATGGAAAAAAAAAGGTTCGGATCACTTCTGGGATATTTTGAACCCTTATGGGGAATAACCTATTTATGGAAAAATCTAAGTTGAACGTTTTTTTTTTTCCATAATTCTGTCGGTGACCATATATCTATGTCTAGCTCTATACTTTGTTCAATTCAAAGCCTCATTGAATCAGACCAACTGTTGCCCAATCCTCAGCCAAGTGATCCCAACGTTTGCGGGTTCTGGCTGCGTGAGGCTAAGCTGGAAGACAAGACAATGTATTTGGCTGGTGGCTGTGACCAGGTCACTCCGGTTTGATGTGGTACCAAGTCACATGCCATTTCCAAAGGTTTGTGAATTGCTGCGGATGTTTTTCGTCAAGATTTTAGGGTACATTCTTTGCTATTCTATTGCGACTTGAGCCACAGCTCGCATCAGGACTTTCAAGGTGATGAATGGTGGGCGGACTTTGCTTGGTTCATCATGAAGGCGTGATGTTGGATGTGTAGAACGTTTGACTATGATCGGGTACACGCAATTGCATCTTGCTCCTGAATATGACAAAGGACAGAAACGTCTTGTACAATCTTGGGTCTGTGAGTAAAAAATCACTGTTCTTGATCGTTTTGTAAAAAACACAATCAAAAAAATGAATCGGTGATTCCTTCCTAGAACAACTTCCGTCGCAGCTCCTCTGCCCCCCAAAAAAACTATCCATTCCTCCAGAAATCATCCTGGCAGCCCATGTTGATCGCTGCTCTCCGTGAACGAAATTCAGCAAAGACCCGCAGTCAAAACCGCCGCCCCGATTCCCGTATGCTAAATCAAACATCTTCAGAGTCAAAATGCCACTAACTCCTTAATTTTTTTCCCACGCCTCGAAAACAAAGCAAAATAACAAATCTTCTCGATCCACCCGCATTTATCACCTCTCCCTTGCTCTGTCAGAACCTTTCGCAACTCAATGGCTGTCATTTTGAAGCAGATTCATGACATTGATGATATTGATGATATTGATGATATTGATGATATTGATGATATTGATGATATTGATGATACTGATGATACTGATGATATTGATGATATTGATGATATTGATGATATTGATGATATTGATGATATTGATGATATTGATGATATTGATGATATTGATGATATTGATGATATTGATGATATTGATGATATTGATGATATTGATGACATTGATGACATTGATGACATTGATGATATTGATGATATTGATGATATTGATGATATTGATGATATTGATGATATTGATGATATTGATGATATTGATGATATTGATGATATTGATGATACTGATGATATTGATGATATTGATGATATTGATGATATTGATGATATTGATGATATTGATGACATTGATGATATTGATGATCTTGATGATATTGATGATGTTGATGATATTGATGATATGGATGATATGGATGATATTGATGATATTGGTGATATTGATGACATTGATGATATTGATGATATTGATGATATTGATGATATTGATGATATTGATGATATTGATGATATTGATGATATCGATGATATTGATGATATGGATGATATTGATGATATAGATGATATTGATGACATTGATGGCTCCCTTCCCGGACGTGCCTTTTCCATCTTTTTCCCCTTAAAACGGCATTTTTGACAAAAGATGTGCGATATGGAGATGGCCATATCGGATTGGTGCGTTGGTGCAGGAAGATCTGAATTCGAAAGAGGAGGACAATTTGGTCAGACGCTGAGTTCCACCACGTAGCAGTGGAACATAGTGGAACTTCGATCAAGCTTGCCAGCATATCCAGCATCAGGATTTGAGAAAACGCTTAGACGGACTGGAGCAGCAGGCAGGGTAGACTCTGACAATTTGATGTATCCTGATTTGACAAAGCAATTGATTGGGGGGATGCATTTCGGTGGAATCATCATGAAGATTGGAAAGGACGTTTTCACTAGAAAATAAGTTGGATCTGCGTGCAGGCCTTGCACCAAGCCACGAGTTTTTGACGCAGGTTGCCATGCTGAAGGAAGAACTTGCCATGGTCAAAGGAGTCAAAGCCCAGGAGATCAGCTGATGATTGCCATCAGTGATGCCATTGCAAGCCCATGGATTCATCTGATCTCCTGGAATCAGCTGATCAAATCCTGGATGATCAGCTGATTTAACTTGATGAACTGATCGATTTGTGAAAGATGATCAAACTGGACTTATTTCTCCAATCTTTTCCATGATTTTTCCATGGATTGTTCCTTTTTTTCCATGAGTTTCCCATGATGTCCAGTAAAGTCCAGTTGAGAAAAGTTTCCTATGATTTTCCTAGATGATTCTCCTGGTGTCCAGTTGAGATTTGTTGCTCTCAGTCAGGAGACACCCAGGAGCTCGTGCCGTTCAACCACCGCTCCGCAGTCGCCAGAGGTGGCTCCGCTACAGTGCTCGATAAAAAAATCTCATCATGGACGAACCAAAGAATAAATAAACATAAATAAATAAATACATACATACATAAGTAAATATATATATATATATATAAATATATATGTATGAATTAGCGTGGGCAACCGCCCCTGTGATCACACAACCAGACTGTACCCTGTCAAAGTTGCCTGAAGGCAAGTGTTTGGGACAGTGCGCTCCAAACACCAAAGCACAACACTTAGTTTTCTAGCTAGATTCTAGCATTGTTTACCCATGACCCATGGCAAACAACGATTGAGCCCCTACATCTTGGACGGCTCCAAAATTCCACGGAATGACGTGCATGCAGGGGTGCGTCCAGGATTCACTCACCCAGTTTCACATTTGCTTCCCAACTTGGTGGTAAAGCAATATTCTTGTTAAGATGGAAACTGCTTGCTGACAGTTTTTACTTTGCAATCTGTCATGTTTTTTCTCTGCAGGAAGACTTGCAAACCAAGTGCGTGCAGCGCTTGGACGAGGCACATGGTTTTCCAATCAATGAGGACTGGAGACTGGAGATGCCGTGTGGGTCGCTTGGCAAATCGAAGCCAGTTGAAGTGCTGAATTCTGCAAACTCTGGCAATGAATTCTGCAAATTTCGGCAAATTTCCCATCTATAAAATCATTGCACGTTCTTTTTTGGATCGTTTTGGATCTTTTTGGATGCTGTGGCGGTGGCCGTTGGAGCTTCCAAGGTTGCAAGATACAAACAGGACGCAGTTCGACCAGTTCGACATCGACCTGGAATACGAGTCCAATTGGGAAAGACCTGTTCAAATGAAACAGGGCAGTGCAGCTTGGCTGGTTTCATTGATGCACAACAGCGTCTTCTGTTGGAGCGTGTTCTGTTGGACACGTCGCCGAGGTAGAGAGCCTTGATGATTTGCCTCCGGAGCCGCTCAGCATGTTCAGCAGCCGATGGATTGCTGCCGGTTTGTTCAGCTAAACCATTGCTTCCATGTTGAGACGTGGTTTAGGTTGCTACCTCGTCTCCTGCAATTCCTTCCAGTGTCTCAGCTCAGATTTAGCGACAACAGTAGCTAAGTGTCAGCGCGCCAGAATGCCCACAGATCCCACAGCAAGAGATGGTTTCCAGGTGAAAGAACTGGTCCGAGATGGAACGCGAGCAGTTTCCCACTTCTTCTCAAGCAAGAAGGTGGGGCAGCTTTGTGTTCAAAAGCATAGTGCGCAAGCTGTGGGTGTCGAAGTGAGGTATGGGTGGCTCATCTTTACAACCTGGTGGACATTGAATCCCTCCATCTTCATCACGATGGGACGCTCCTTGGAAAGCAACTCACGATTTTCATGTGCATGTCTGCAGAGCTGTTGCAAAGCTGGCCACAGCTAAGCCACCAGAGGTGGGAGACGCCACATTGCCATCACATGATATTTATTTTATGATGGGCAGCCTATGTCTATGGTTCTGGTTTCTTTTCTTCCAAGGTTTTGGCAGGCTGTTCAGCAACAAATTTATCTGGAACTGAATATGTTTGATTCAGTTTTGTTCCAAACACCGCGCCAGTCCAGCAGACATTCGGAGGTTTCTCACTACAGTTTGCTTTTTAGCAGACCTGATCCCGTTCTAGTACCTTCAGATCGCATCGGATCGCTAGATTGGTAAGGATCTTATGCTTGAACCAGTCAGCGCAATGTGTGTGTGTGTGTTTGTGAGTGGGTGGGGTGCCAAGCAACAAAATGATCCTGATTGTGTGGCATTTTGCCAGCCTCTATCGGATGTGTATTTTGAAGTCATGGTATCTATTGTTTTGTTCTGTAACTTGAGTAAGACCCCAGCACCATTGCAGGACCATATATTTGATGTTTGGGCTTTTGTTTCGAAACCGTTGCTGCCTGGAGAGCATGGAATGGATGGTGGGCGTTGAGCCGTTGAGCTGGCAGGTATGCAGGGTTGCGGGATATCGTTGGAAGTGGTGAATGGATTTGGGGCAGATTGGGGCCGCAAAACAGATCCTTTCTTGGCGAAACATCCATGCAGAGCTTGCAGAAGTGGCCGTATAGAAATGGTGCGGGGATGTGCGGGGTGTATTCGAACACTGCAAAAGGGCCTGTTTTCGGGAGGTCGAAAGTCTGTGTGTTGGAGCTGCAGAGAATGTGTAAGAGGAGTTTCCAGCCAGATAATTTACATGCCGCGTGAGTCACTGCTTTGGTTTTGTGTTCTTTGCCGGTTCTTTGCATTAACACGGTGGGTCTGTGGTTGGAACGTGATTGCTTGCTTCTTCTGTTCAACCAATGATATATATATATATACATATACACATGATATCCCATTTAGTCAAGCAAGGTGTTTGGCGCTCCTTTCCATCTCTGTCAAAACACTGACAAGTTTGAGTTTGCGGTCCGTATTGTCCTCGTTCAGTGCGCGAAGTCTTTGCAACGAAAGTCTTCTGCTGACCCAGTTATCGACAATTGCAGGTGTACGGGTCTCACGGTTAGATTTTCGCATTATTGAGCCTTCTTTAAGAGAAGACATTGCATGTTTGAAGGACAATTGCACAACATGGTTTTGATTTCCGCACCTGCGTCGTTACATGGCCAGACACGCAAGTTTTACTTCCCAAGTTCCTTGCCAAGCAGGTGTCAAGCATATGCATGCTGAATTTGCAGGAACTTGCGGCATGAATAATCACGTCAGAATAGTCCATGCCAGGTTCTATCGTTGTATTGAAAGGAACGATGCTAGAAGAAAATCTTGTTGCCTAAGGCAAAGGAACTCGACAGCAACAAGAACGGGAAAGAACAAGGAATACATGTACAAGTAGAATAAAAGGAATGCATAGGGAGTTTGGCAAAAAAAAACAACGCAAACCCAAACGTTTCTTGCGCGGTGTGAGTTCGCATGTGTGTGAACAAAGAATACGAGGATTTACTGTGAAGCCACATCCCTTTTGGCACAGTTGTCATGGGCTAAAGAAATGCTTGTCTCTGCCGGTTTCCTGACCTTTTTCAGCTGGTGTCCAACTTTTGTCCTTCTTCCTTCAGAACTGTGAGTGTTTATACAAGGAAACACGCCGTCTTGGAATGGCGAGAATATGAGAAGATCATGGTAGAGCATGGCGATGATGCTGCAAAGGAACATTTGGCTGATGGTTCCGAAGAATTGTTAGGCGTGGCTCCATACAACTGGACTCAATGACTAAAGAACCGCCCCAGAAACTAGCATTAGGTTTGAAAGATTTCTAAATTGCGAAAAAAACAGGGCACGTGAACAATCGTACCCTGCAGGTTTGGATATCTGGGTGAGGGGGCTTCACAGATGGCACAAGATCGAGCCTGAACTTACCTTTCGTTTCCAGCAGATCCTTGCACAGCAGCTTATGCTCGAAGTGGAGTCAACCCCCACCGGACCATTGCTGCTAGCGACGACTAGTCTTCTTGGACGCGTTTGCTTGAGCCCTGCTGGTGAGTTGCGGTTGTCTATAGCAGAGGCTATTTTGGCACCACTGGCCCATCACAACTTGGAGCCCAGGATGTGTCAGAACTTTCTCAGAATCCTGGCATACTGCCGCTCTGTCTTTCACTGTCTTGACATAGATTTCTTAGCAAAATTTGCCAGAATATTCACCAACTGGGAAGATGATGGCTTGACAAGGGAGGCTTTGACGCTAGCTCAAGACCTGGCATACTCGATCCTGCTGGATGATCAACTGGAACTGGTGACTGACAGCATCGCCCTCCTTGGGCGCCACCCTGCAGAGGCGCAAAGGCTTCACAAGTTGTTGCAAAACTGCTAGGATACTGCTCGGTTTCTATGACTTACGCGAGTGCATTTGAAGACCCCTACACTGCTTTCGAGGAATCGACGGTCATGCTGGATGATCTTTTGGCAATTCTTTTTGAAACCATTGAATTTCGAGAGCGAATCGATGCATATTCCGGGAAGTTCGTTCCCAGCACAAGCACAAGTTGATCCTTTCAGACCTTTTGCAGCCCTTCTTGCTGGAACACCAATATCTTGAAATGCGCTGGACGAATCTCACCGGGGTCGTCCATAGCACACAAGGAGTTGTATTTGGCTCAAACGCGTTTCAGCTACAAACCTTTGTTGGGCTTGTGAGTGGCCGAAGAAAGAAGCTCACGCCCCATTGGTGGAGAGACTGCGTTGGAGCCAGAACCAGGGTTTCCAAAAAGGGCTGCAGAGGATGATGGTGACAGAGTGGCTGTGGAACCAACATGGTTTTTGTTTTTTATGAGACATCCTTAGGGATACCTAACCAACAACATACATGAACTTTATGAAATGTGGGGTCCCAGACGTTGGAGCACACAGACGAAAAAAACACTCTTGGAGTCATAGCTACGAACAGAATCACAGAAATTGATGTCATTAAAGACTATTTGATAATGTTTGACTTCCATGCTTCGTTTGCAAGTAGACACCCAGCTACATGACGTGCAAATGGCTCAAGACTTTGCACTATGTCCGCTACCAATGGCGTTGAGTGGGGAGGCGGCCTTGACTGACAACGTGTCTTTCCTTTTGACCGTTGTATTCTTGCACTCTTACGTTTGAAGACCTTGAAAGATATGTGGCCGGCAGGCTCTTCGAGCAGTGCAGGTCTTGCTGGCTTGCAACTCAAGATAGCTAGTCATTTTCTTGATGTTGGCTGCCAAGGCCTTCCCGCAAACTCACCGCGCAGGGTGCGGCAGTAAGTTCACTTGTGCCATTGAATATCTTGGTGTTAGCCGTGCTTCCAAGCACTTGAAATACAAACTGCATGTTTCAATTCTTAGTCAATCGCCATGATTGCGGTGACTTCATGCTGAGGCAGCCCTCATACACCCGGGGCCTTCTGGAGTATGGGCCCAGGGCCCAGATTGCTCGAACGAGGTGGAAACTAGGTGCGCGTTTCATCCCTTCAGGTGAAAAAGAAAAAGACCTGCGAGGTGGGAGTTCAGACAGAGGCGCGTGTCCAAAACAACCGATGGATCATGAGCAAAAACAAAGGTACACAACATCAGTTTTGTTGAGACATCTTTGTCTTTGTAGATCGTTTCGCTGCATGACATGGAAATGCAATGGCAGGGTGGTGGACACGAGGTGAGATTTCAAATAGAAGCGCGTCAAAAAAGCGCTCACACTGCAAAGTTTGCATCGCTTAAAACTGTAATGGAATAATAATAATAATAGTCATCATCGACATAAATAACCGAAACATGTCTGTTCTGAACCCAAGGTTCATAAGGTTTTCCCGTTAGGTTGACAAAGCAGCCCTTGCTGCTTGTAAAATTTCTGCTGTGTCTTGCTCCTCCTTCTCTGTTCTGCTCTGCTGTCCTTCTGCTACTTTGTTTGAATCCTAAAGGGGTCGTATCTGTGTACTTCCTGTGAGAACCAAAGAAACCCTAAAGGGGTCGTACCGGTGTACTTCCTGTGTGAAGCAAAGAAACCCTAAAGGGGTCGTACCTGTCTACTTCCTCTGTGAGCAAAGAAACCCTAAAGGGGTCGTACCTGTGTACTTCCTGTGTGAAACAAAGAAACCCTAAAGGGGTCGTACCCGTGTACTTCTTGTGTGAAGCAAAGAAACCCTGAAGGGGTCGTACCTGTGTACTTCCTCTCTGAAGCAAAGAAACCCTAAAGGGGTCGTACCTGTGTACTTCCTGTGTGGAGCAAAGAAACCCTAAAGGGATCGTACCTGTGTACTTCCCGTGTCAAGCAAAGAAACCCTAAAGGGGTCGTACCTGTGTACTTCCTGTGTGAAGCAAAGAAGCCCTAACGGGGTCGTACCTGTCTACTTCCTGCGAGAACCAAAGAAACCCTAAAGGGGTCGTACCTGTGTAGTTCCTGCGCGAAGCAAAGAAACCCTAAAGGGGTCGTGCCTGTCTGCTTCCTCTGTGGAGCAAAGAAACCCGAAAGGGGTCGTACCTGTGTAGTATCTGTGTGGAGAAAAGAAACCCTAAAGGAGTCGTACCTGTGTACTTCCGGTGTGAAGCAAAGAAACCCTGAAGGGGTCGTACCTGTCTACTTCCTCGGTGAAGCAAATAAACGCTAAAGGGGTGGTACCTGTGTACTTAAAAGACACCTTGCAGAGTGTTTTCATGTGTTTTCCAGGAGATAGAAATCCGGCAACGGCAAGATGGTGGACACGAGGAGTACTGGCGCTGGCTGTTTTGCTGCGGCCGTTAACCGTTGGGTTCCCAGTTAGATGGAACGAGCCGCAGTGCTGAAACCAACAGAAATATAACCCGGTCAAATTATAAACACCGCTTAAATGGGGCCAGCAAAAATGATTTCATCCCATACAGTACGGGCCATTCTCAAACATGGTTTCTGGGGGGTGTTTAATTTTAGTGGGATTGGATTATTTGATACAGATGCAATCTGGATACTGTCTTCCTGTTAGGATTATGATTAGCCGTCCAGGGACTACAGAGAGTCACCAAGTGCCGCGCCTGCCACGCAAAGCAGCCGCGGCGTCAACGGCGGCGTCACCGGCGACCAGCGCGGACCAAGCGTGTCACAAGTGCCACGCCAAATGGCTCTGGATGTCTCCAAGTGCCACGCCTGCCACGCAAAAGACCGCGGCGTTGTGTGGACAAATTGTGTGTGAGTAAGTTGTGTGTGGAGAAACTGTGTGTGAGCAAGTTGTGTGTGAGTCAGTTGTGTGTGAACAAGCTGTGTGTGGACAAATTGTGCGTGAACAAGTTGTGTGTGAGCAAGTTGTGTGTGGACAAGTTGTATGTGTGAGCAAGTTGTGTGTGAGTAAGTTGTGTGTGGGCAAGCTTGACAAGCTTTGTGTGAACAAGTTGTGTGTGGACAAATTGTGCGTGAACAAGTTGTGTGTGAGCAAGTTGTGTGTGGACAAGTTGTGTGTGGACAAGTTGTGTATGGACAAGTGTTGTGTGAACAAGTTGTGTGTGAGCAAGTTGTGTGTGGACAAGTTGTGTGTGTGTGTGAGCAAGTTGTGTGTGAGTAAGTCGTGTGTGAGCAAGTTGTGTGTAAGGAGGCGGGCGGCGGGAGGAGGAGGCGGAGGAGGAAGGAGCAGCAGATGGCGGCAGGCGGGAGTGCACAGCCAAAAACAAGAACCCCACACAAAGATGTGGGGAATGAGTATTTGGCGGTATACCCCATTCTGAGACACACCCAAGTGAGTGACCGCCTTTTGGACAATTTGATTCCGTTACAGCTGCGTGCTGCTGGTGGACTCAAAACCGAATGGTGGAGAGCGCGCTTCAATGGGGCAACAGGCTCTGGTGAAGTCATGGAACGTGAAGAAAAAAACATAGATTTAGATTTAATCAAGAAAAACATAATATTATCACCAGAACAAAATTGTGAGACCAAAAATCGCCAGCATCAATTTAGTCATCAGAAACACCATCACCGCCGTACCCTCAATGCCACGTAGCCTCGGCCACTCAGGTGGCGAAGCTGTCGGCTGTGAAGTCCCTTGACCTGCGAGTACAATGCAAACCTGTTCGTTAAATAAGTTATGTGATCACTGATATTGGATGATATTGGTATCAAGTGGTGGAAGAAGAGACGGTTTAGGCAGTTTCTTTTCACGGAAAACAAACGGTAGCTGGATCACGGGTAGATTCCTATGGAGATGTGCAGATGATCCCTTGTGCATCAACCTGTTCATAAACCCGAAGCAGTGACTGAACTGCACTTTGCTCTTCAAAGCCACATTTCAGAAACAATACGATTGAGAGTTTGTCAGTTGGCCAATTCGAATTCTGGCGCAAGTGAGCGGGTCGTTCGTGGTGTTGGGCGGATTGGCCGCGGATTGACATGGTCAGATCATCAAGAAAGACGCCGACTTCCACACAGATTTGATCCTGGAGGCGTAGGATCCTGGAGGCATGGCTTTGTAGGTCACTGAAATCAAACTTGCAGCGTTCGCATGGATTCCCTGTGTGGGCAAGCGGCTCTGGGCCGCGAATCGGCCAGAGGTCACTGGGCGCCCATGAAGGATCTCCTTGTGACTGCACGGAATTTGCCATTCCCACATTGAAGCAGAAAAAAAAACAGGAAAACTCCTCTGAATACTCTGGATGACTTGAAAGAGTGAATGGCGAGCCGAAGATTTGACCATTTTAAGGAATTGATGCTGGGCTCGGTGAGAGATGTGACAATGACGAGTTCATACCTGAAGATTCAGCAAATCGTTCTTGATGCAGTGTAGTGGCACGAAATACCATTCAGATAAGATCAGAAAAGTATCTTTAAATAAACATAAATTTATATAATGTATAAATATAAATTTATAAATATAAGTTTATAAATATAAATATATAAATATGAATATGAATATAGATTTAAATATAAATATAAATATATACATATAAATATAAATATAAATATAAAAATAAAAATAAATATAAATATAAATATAAATATATAAATAAATATAAATATGAATATGAATATGAATATGAATGTATATATATATATATTTGATTATGTGTCATCCAAAGACGCGGCCTCGAGAGTAGAGACCGCTTTTTCAGTCTTGTAGAAATCTCATGCTACCAGGTAGCTGCTACCAAAAAGAAGATGGAGTTGAGAACTGGGTATGGGTCAATACCTATAGATACATTTTTAGTGGGATGAACATCCATTTACCAGCTATTTTGGGGTTCACTAGGTACCAGGGTTTTGACCCATCCCCACATGATGTGTCTTGCTCTTAAGATCTATCAATGGAGACGGTAGCATGGGATCTGCTGCGAGCTGATCCTGCATACGCATAAAATATGCACAAGGATCACGCAGGCGGGTGGAGAGAGTGCATCCAATGCCATGCTTTCAGGAGGTTTCAGGATGTTTCAGGGTTGCTTGTTCTCATCCAAATGGAGTCCACTGAGAACATTTGAGAATGGTATCACATTCCTGCAGATGTCCTAACTCTCCGATGGGCGCTTGGGCGCCTTATCACATTGTAAAGAGTTGCGGGGTTATCTTCCGAAGCCAGTCAAAGCCTGTCAAATGTGACCAATTTTCCCAGGAGTCCAACATTCATCTGTGGGACCGACAGATTCTCCCGTTCACCGTTAAGCCGAGTTAGGCCTCGCTCTTCCGTGGTTGCGAAACTTGTTTAGCCGAGGGATTGCATCAAAACTTTGTTTGGTTTCGATAGCTTCTGTTGACCCCTGCAGCCACTGCAATGTGGAATTAGCTGAAAAGCACCATTGCACCATGGCAGAAAAGGATCGTCTTTGACGCAGACCTGGGGTTTTTTCAACCGTCCCCATTAGGCGGAAAGAACTCCAGTCAAGAATCTCCCTTGATGATCAGTTGGCGTACTAATGTTCTGGCCACTAGAGAAACGTGAGATTCAAGTACGTGATAACTTTCAAGCGTGTGTGATCTTTGGAATGTTGGTATAGCCAGACTTGAATTACGGGCTAGACTTTTGAAGTCAAAATCAATGGATTGTCTTAGAGGAAATTCGTTCCAGGAAACCCTGTAGGGATAAAAAGAATAGCGTTTCCTTGTTCAACTGGAACTTTTTCATCGAATTCTTGCAGACTGTGGCTAGGAGGGAGCTGAGGAGCTATGGGTATTGCCATTTCCCAACCAAAAATGGGGAACCAAGGAGCTATATGCCAAGAGTTTCCCAACCACATGATAGTCCAAAATTCAAGGGATATCAATTTGGGTTTTCCGGGACGTTTTGAAAATCATTGGCAGGAAAGACAGGGACGCGATGGTGCAACATGATGTTTGAAGATGACAAGAATCAAAATCTGCTAAGGCACGCCTAAAACTACAACGTTTCAGTCTGAGTCCCATCAAGGCAGTATTGCTTTTTGTCATCCCAGTGCTGCGGGAAAATCTTTGGCATGGTGAGGGTGCGACATTCATAGCAGTGCTTGTTGTGCTTCAATCTCCGGGTCTGGGACTAGTGCATCACGGATACAAACCACTCAAAACCAGAAAGCAACCACTATAAAGCAGAGTCATTGGAGTTATAAACTAGCTATCTTGGGGGCACCACCTTAAACCCCTAACGTTTTTATTTCGCACATTTTGGTTCAGAGCTGGGTCCATTTCTTTCCGTCGTGGTCTCAACTTGCACGAGGTGCTGTCAATGTGTCGGTGTTTCGGGATGTTTCGGGAACATGGGCAAGTCTTTGATGAAAAGACGTGTGTAGGCAGAACCGTTTCAAAAATGCAGAGCAAATGAATGACATGTGTTTTTTTTCTTGGACACCTACGGACTTTGGCAGATGTTTCTTTGTTCACCGAGTGGCTGACCGCTGAACTTTTGTGCATCCTGATTTCACCAGGTGTCTACAGGGTTTCGACCTGTTCGCTTCCACGTGTTTTTGACAAATCTTGGGGTGCGGTTGTTCTCGCGAAATCTGAATCTGTTGCATTGAAGCAACTGTTGCACTCCCTTTGGGTTCCAGTGGATGCATCACAGATGTTGTGACATGGTTCCCCAACTCAGCAGGTGCGAGGAGAGGAAGTGACGCAAGTGACGAAAGTGGAAAGCACGCGGAGTATTCGCTGCCCGGATGCCCGGAAAACAGCAATCCATGTGGAAAATTGTGGATGAATCGGTCATTGGAACATGTTGGAAAATTTGTGCACTAAACCGATTGGAATTGATTGAGCAGAAACACTTCGCTTCCAAACTGCTGCCACGGTGGTTTGACACAAATAAGATTTGCTGTGAAATCTGTTCGAATGAGTTGTTGACGATGTTGGCGCAGAAATATGAAATCATTCACTTGGTAAACCTTTGTTGCGGTAGGTTTTTCTTATGACTATGATTTTATTCTTGACTATGAAGAAATGATTTGATTTGTAAAATATCCAAAAGTAATCATGATTTTAGGATTGTGTTTGTTTCAACTCATGGTTTCCATCCTGCAGGAAAGGTTTTTGAGATTCATCAAATTTGCAAGTCAAAAACACGAAGTGAATCTTGAGCAACGAAGTAATGTTAAATAATTACTGTGGCAAAACGCATGATGAACCTCTATTGGGCATTAATGGGGGTGGTTTATTATTGGGTTCACCTTTTTAGTGATATTGTTGAACAGTGGCATTTGTTGAAATTTGGTTGGCAAAATATGTTGGCCCACATACCGCTTTCTTACTTTGGACATCCACCCAATCTGTATATGGAACCACTAGCATGATCAGAATTTTAGCATGCCATAATCATCACCTTCACTATCCAGTCTCGCAGTCTAGGGGGATACCCAAAAAAGAATCTGTATTACCCTTATTTCTGGTTACATAATCTTCTCTTCTGCTGGTCTAATTCATCAATTTTCTAATTTTTCTATATACTTTGATTGTCTAGTGATTGGATTCAGGTTTTGTTGGGTTTGATATCCTATTTTATCATATTGAGAAAGGACAATTCCTCTGGAGGATTTGGCAATCTTTTGCTGTACTAAATGGTGGTTAAGCACATCACCATTTACAGACCACTTTGTCATATAGTAAAGATGAAGAACATTTTGCCATGTGTTTAGTCAGCGTTTGCGATGGGTTTTCCATCATGTTTACAGCAATCACCATCTTCACAGTTTATGACAACATATGATTACAGGATCTAATCATATAATCACCATGAAATTCATCATTACATGTTCAGAACAGTTCAATGATTTGCCACATGGGCAATGATTCAACTGTTTACCGAACTGGAATCTGGAATGGAACCGTCATTACCCAATGAGTTGTCTAACAGTTTCGTCATTAGTTTCCAGTTGGGTAAACACCTCGACGTTGTACGACGTGGTGACGACGTGGTGTACCACTTGAATCCACTCGAGGCGCCATGGCTTGCACGGAGAGGATCACAAGGTGTCTTGCGTGATGGCATTTTTGCTGGGGGACCTGATGATCAAATACGATCATGGAATATGGTTGTGGTTCAGTATGAATTATGTATACATATATATTTATATATGTATACTGTATATGTATATGTATATGTATATGTATATGTATGGAATTTTCAACCATAAACTATTTGTTGGGAATATCATAAAACCTGATCAGCTGTTCAAAAATTGCCCAAGTTTGACACGTAGCCACTTGACTCCCACATATTTTTGAGAAATACAATGAAGGCAGGACCTTTTGTGAGGAATTTCCAACGGGTGCAGTAATCTACAAGTCTTTTGGGTTGTAGAAAGCCACCAAATGGGTGACACATTTTTAAGGCTTTGACTGATGATTCTATCATTTATTGACCAATATTCTACAAGAAGATCCAAAAAGTGGATAGAGACCTATAAATGATTTGGAGTATGGGCCCCTATTCTTTTGCCGCACAGACCAATGGTTGGGACTATGCGAATTGAGATTTTTGAGATCAGTTGGATGCGTTGGTGGCTGTTATTGTACTCAATTTTGTTGGGATATCACCCATTCATGGCCATTTTTATTGGGAAAACAAAGATCAACCCAACAAAACTTGGATTATTGAGAAGAGACATTTTTGTTGGAATATTGTGGATTTCCTCAACAATCCCCACGGGTTTCTAGGTTGACCAGCCTTCATTTGCGCCCAAGAAAAGTGGAAGTTTATGACTTGGATGGTGATTGATGTCCTCACTCTGGCACCATTGTAGTGCTGGTTTGTATGACCGTATCTCACATTTTGCTACTGCACCCCTCATATTTGGCAATGACTAAATGATTGACCCAGAAATGGAGGGTTTCAACTCATACCAGCATGACCAGCCATTTGTGGTACCCCATTTTGGGGCCTGGGAGTCTTCCATTCCCAGGAGTGAAGACTTGAAAGAAAACCACTTGGGCCAAAGAGCCAAGAGGCAGAAAGCAGCGGAGCAGCGAAAATCGGGGTTGAAAGCGACCAAAACGCCACGCTATGTCAGAGATTGTCATCGCGACGCAAAGTGCCAAGAAATAGGGTTTGACCTATGAGTTGTTGGACGTAGTAGGGGGCATAGTGACACAGACCAGTTTCCTGTAGCTATGAGCTGATCGACCTTGAACCATTCTCTTCACAGGCTCAACAAAGATCAAATTCTAAACGTTCCGTTTACAAACCTAACTGACTTGGTCACGTCAACAAGTCCCTCAAATGGCCAACAGACATTGATCATAGTCATTTTCATTTTCATCACGTCCAAGTTTTTCAGGTTTTCCTGGGCATTTCCCCACGTTTGTCCCACGTTTGTCCCACGTTTTTTCGCACGTCTTTCCGCTGCCGAAGGGACCTCCGAAGTTTCCGCGTGCACCGCGAGTTGCTGCTGTCGCAGCTGCGTAGTGACTCAGAGGCTTCGGCCGATTTCACCATCGACCTGGGTGAGGTCCGGTGGGGATTTTTGACATTTGGGACTTTTGGGATTTTATGGGAACATATATGGGAACAAATATGGAAAACATCTGGGGAATCTTCCCAAATTTTCAGTTTCCCCAAATTATATGATGTTTTTTATTTCGGGAAACATATAGGGAAACATATCGGAAAATTAAATGGGAAACATGTTTGATGACATTTTTGGGAAAACATACTCTAAGGGATCTTACGAAAAGCTGCCCGGTGTGCCAAAGGTGATTTTCGACATTTGGGGATATATGATTATTTTTTTGGGAAACATATGTGACATGACATTTTGGAGATGTTCTAGGGTTTTTTATGATATAAATATAAATCTTGGGGATTTTCTATGGTAATTTTGAGGACTATGTAGTTATGCAATTTTGGGACCTAACGTATGATATGTTTTGGGATTTTCTATGGGAAAATAATCTGGGGGATCTTACTGTGAAAGTGACATTGAACTTTCGACTTTTATTTGGACAATTACCATGAAATGGGGATGAAGGAAATCCCTATAATTTGGGATCTCATGGGGATCAAATTAAGCCTATTCGATGGAACAAAACATAAGAAAAACACATGAAAGAAAACTATGAATGGGCATTATCACTATTTTAACGATCAGACACATGGGGAGACAATTTGTTGATTCATGATGCGGTTACGCTGGCTGGCTGGTTGTTGGTTTCCCCATGTTCATCCCAGTTGGCCAGTGAATCTGCGTATCTTGCGACTGTCGAATACTCCGGGTTGAAGCCCCGGTTTAGTATTGGATGAATTGGGGTCACAATTTGGAAGTATCTGATAGTATATGTATGTCCTATTCTTATTCCCATCCAGGTTATTTGCTCAGGTTATTGATCCCAATTTTTTCCAAGGCCAACCTCCCGTAAAAATCACCATGAAAAATCCCAGCTTTCCGCCGAAATCCGTGGGGCAGGACAGTTGCAGCGACTCCAGCGACAGAAGTTTGGATCGTCGTATCCAGGAGGAGGTCATCGATGAGTTGTGTTGGGCCTCTGTCGACGAGGCATCCGATGATCGTTTCGGGTCGGCTGCAAAAGGTCCTCGTGACCTGGAGGTCCTCCAGGTCCTCCAGGTCATGACTTCATCAGGACTGTGCAAAGTCTGGAAACTTCCAAACAAAAGTGTAGGGAAACTTCTGAGGTCGATTTCTGGTTTCTTTGGGGTCTTTTGGGTGCATTGAGATCTTCTGATTCTTCAAAATGCCAGCTTGGTCGTTGGTTTCATCGAATGACCAAAGGGCCTCCATTTGGTACTCCATTTGGTACTCGTGGACTCTGTGGTCCCTCCGTGGAGGCTCACTTTGAAACTGGCTTTGAGGATGGTTGCTCACTGCAGGACGGCCGACAAGTCTGTGTTGGCGACTCCATGGATTTTTGTTTCCCCTCCAAAATTTGATCCTCAGTCATACCCTTTGGTAATTTAACATAGCTATTGAAAATGGCCATAGAAATAGTGGTTTTTTCCATTAAACATGGTGATTTTCCATAGTTTTTTGTAAACGTTTACCAGAGGGTAAATGTCATAACCCCCTGGTAATCATGGCAAGTTGGAACATCCCCGAAGCGGGAAATCATCGAACTGACGGTAGGTTTCGTGGTGCCAAAGCTGGCAAAATCCACCTCAATAGCTGCGGCAAATCCACCGAGCTGCGAAATATATGGGAAAATATATGATACCCTCTGGTGATTTAACAGTTCGCGAGGGAAAGATCCACCATTTTTAAGAACGGTAAAGCATCTATTTCTATGGGCCATTTTCCATGGCTATGTTAAATAACCAGAGGGTATATCTCACTTTTTCTGGGAAAATCCACCCTTTGTTGCGAAGTGTGGTGAATTTGTCCAGATTTGTCCAGGAGGCGCGCGCCTTCTGTCGCATGTGCCTGCGGCATGCGGACCGCCTGCGGCTGGCGCGAGCCCAGCGCTTGGGAGAAGAGATCACCGAGGCCCTGAGGTTTCAGAGTTTCATGGGTTTTCCCCTTGGGGTTTTCACCAGGAAATTTCGCTCTTAATGGAATTCTAATGATCAAAAAAAAAGGTTTTCATGTGGATTCAAACATGAAATTTCATAATGGGTCTAAAAAACTCTCAAACATATGAGGATTTGTGAATTTCTTGTTGGGGATTGCACACTTTGATGATTCGGGGGCTTTAAAAAAAGGTGACTTTTCAATCGCCAACGGTTTGTTCTTTGCGGATTTGAAGGGGCTCACGGTGGTCAAGCTTGCATCGAACGCGAAAGATTAGGGGCAAACAAATGGCAACGATTTTTTTGGGAGAATGATTTGATCTTTGAAAACGAGTTCTGGTTCAGAATTCCCTAGGTTAACTGACCTTTTGGTTGTTAAATCCCATCATCTCAATTTTTACAGCTCACGAAGATTTGACTTGATTCGACCATCAGAAATGACGCAACTGTCCAAAGCTTCTTGGGCGTTTAGACATGTTTAGACTACCCTCTGGTAATTTCACAGTTTGCGAACTTGAAAATGGCAATTTATAGTGGATTTACCCATTGAAAATGGTGATTTTCCATAGTTTTGTTAACGTTTACCAGAAGGGTATGTCCCGCCCACGGATCTCGATTTTTGGTGCTTTTTCGGGTGGACCCTCAGCCGTGTTTTTCCTGGTGCAGGTGCAAAGTCCTTCGGCCTTGACCCGAAGAATCAAAGACCATGAGGAGGCCCGAAACTTCGCATTGATCTGCCTCAAGGTGCGATTTTTGGGCTGCGCAAAGGGGCAAAAAACATGGTAAAATTCCAATGTTTTGGACATGTGATGGGTTCAATACTGTTCAATATCAGGATGATCCAATGGTTGAGTATGCCTACGGGTGGACAACCGAACGTGTAGTTGTCACTATTTTTACTTCTCTCACATCTTGCACGGGGTGGGGGTGGGGTGGGGTGGGGTACTAACGTCTTTAGCATTCCCAACATTCAACTACGTTGTTAACTTCTCTCACATCTTGCACGGGGTGGTGGTGGGGTGTGGTGGGGTGGGGTGGGGTGGGGTCATTAACGTCTTTAGAATTCCAAACATTCAACTACGTTGCCAACTTCTCTAACATCTTTCACCTACGTTATCATTCCTTTTAACGCATCTAGCATCTACGTTGTTAACTTCTCTAACATCTGGCGCTGGGAATCTCTGAAATATGGAGATGTTCTGATGCAAACCTTGGCGCAAAAGAAAGGACCGCTTGCACGTGCCAAAACCATGAGAACCATGGCCCCACTGTCACTTTGTGAAATGACCCACTAAAACAGGAGTACTTTTTTGGGACTAAAATATCCATATTTGATGGCCAGTGCACAGAAAAACAAAGAAAAAAAATGGAATTGAGACACGAATTTGGCACAACATCATGATTTTCATTGAACAACGCCAAGCGACACAAAATCCACACACATCATTTTTAAGCAACGCGGGCACGTTCATCCATAGCCACCCGGCCGGTGGAACCACCGTTTTCTTAGGCGATTGAGGAATACGAAGCTGAACGGCCCTGAGGAGATTTGGGCACTGCACGGTCCCAGGGACGTTCCAAAGCCCGAGATCCTTCCGAGACGGAGCCCTACCAGAAAAGAAACATCTGAAATTTCAGCCAACAGGGGCTGTTTTCTAGCTGTTTTTTTGTGCAGTGTCTGAAGCTCCGAAGCTGTAGCAAAATGACAATTTGCACGAAAGGGTCACAAGAATCCATAGGCGAGCTGGCGATGGCTCTCACCCTTCGAAGCAAGAAGGAGAGACAGGGGCAGACATCCATTTTCTACAGCAAAAGCCAGCGGTTTTACTGGCACTTTGGGCTCTTTATTTCCTACTACCATCTGGTTATTTAACATAGGCATGGAAAATCCCTTATAAGTGGAGGTATTAATGGGAAAATCATCTATAAATGGGCCATTTTCCATGGCTATGTTAAATAACGAGAGGGTACTTGCATTTACCAGGGTTTCCATGGAAGCATCATGAAACATCTACCAGTGAGTTTCGGCGCAGCTTTTGGGATGCATCACTGCCAAAGGCACGGTGTTTCTCCGCGCGTGCTGAAAATGGCGATGGTTTCGTCACCGGGGGTGAATCCAATGATTTCGACTTCGAATTGATTTCAACAGCTGAATCTCCCACTTTACAAATTCACAATTTTTTGTAGAAGGCGAAAGATTATTGCGATTTTTTCCACTGGGCCCACCCTTCTCCACATGTGGACTGAAAGCATGGGGTCATTGCGGTCATTGCGATTATTGCGGTTATGCTTCTGCAGCCGATGCAGCACTGTCCAACAGACAGTCGACCTTTGATAAATTTCTAAAAAATGGCAGGCGCCAACGGGACCCGTGATTGGACCTTGGGGACCTGCCATATGTGGCAGATATTGAAGTAGTGAACTGTACAATGTGAGGCCCCCCATTTATATGTTTGTTGGTTTATAAACCCATTAACTATAGTAACTATAGTAATATCATGTTAGATTCCCAATAAACCTATAAAGCTTAGACTTAATCAAGTGGTAGTTACCTGTGATTGTGGGTTAACCGTTATATGTCTCCGCTTGACCTGTCGCCCATGGATGGTGCACAGACTCCCTGAAACCCGAATTTTTGAAGTGGTAGATGGCATTGATTTTAATATACCAATTAAATACTATGGAGATATGCCTTTTCTGCCAACATCTAGCAACATTCCAAGATGTTTATATTTTTGGTAGATTTACATCTTCTTTTCAACGTCTCTTAATTTGTATCGTGACATGATCGGCTTAGTGGCTGAAGTCTCGTTTGCAGAAATCCGGAAATTCTGATCAGGCTACTTCGCTGAGAGGAGCTGGCATTGGTTGATGGTTATTACTCCTTTGATGGGGACAATATGGGGATATGATGAGGATCGAATGGAGATGATGTGATGACATGGATAGACAGCAATGTGGTATCTTTTTGTTGGTTGAAGATCAGTTCAGGGGTTGTACTATCCTTTATATGTTGGAGATTTATGGATTTATATAAATCGGAAGGCTTATCATGTTTGATGAAGTGGGAATGCCCATGCAAATGAACCATTATTTGGGGGAATTTCCAATAGGTTCAACGGACACTGCTCATGCGACCATAGCCCTTACGGCATTGTTGGGTCAGTCATTGGACCTTCAAGGTAGTATTTTTGGCTACCCATTTCTTACACATGGGATGTGTTGAGTCCTTGGTTGCGTCATTCTACCCCAAAAAAAAGCAGCATAGTCAGCAAAACCTGACAGATGGATGGATTAACTTGTGACCTCCCTAGGAGTTCACTAGAAGTGATGGCGAGGATTGGGGAATCATCCCAAATAAGGCTTGCTTCCAGGTTAAGAATATAGCAATTTGCCCAATATTTTTCAATCAAGGGATTATTGACTGATGCATAACAATAAAGTCATGTTCAATCATGATTATTCTCAGATAACCAAATAGGATGCAAGTTTGAAAGCGGTGTTCTTTGTCACTCGTCAGTGTTTGGCGATGCCTCAAAAGAGGAACTGTTTTGGATGTTCTTTGAAGCAATGATGGTTTCATCCTCCATTTTCAAGATGAAGATCTTCTTGTTTAGACCGTGACATATTTCCCCTGGCAACATTTTCAACCATGGTGAATTGGTGGCTTGAGGCCTATTGCTTTGGAATCCCAGCAACCCCGTCATGACAACCAAAGGTTGATTCACGTCGAAGATACAGTTTTTCTTTGGAATTGTGATCCAAAACCGGGTCTACTTAGATACTATAGATCATGTCAGTTACTTAACCCTATGACAGTACAATATATACATAGCATCCTTCTTAAAGTTTGTCCCACGTATTGATTTCCCAATCCAGGAACTGGTTGAAGGGCCATTTGACAGGAACCCCCACCAAATTTGGATGTAAACTGTAGTCTCCTGCAGATTGTCCGGAACCCATTGTTGAAATCTCCGTTGTTACTGGATAAAATCATGTTAGATGTTGGGTCGTGTTAAAACTCCATAAGTTAAATCCTCAAGCATCACAAAACATTAGCCCACCTTTTTTGTTTTTCCTTTTTTTCACGTGAAATCCACCATGTTTGGTGATCCCTTGCCCCTAAATATCAGACACCCCCCAGAAACCATGATGGATGTAGGGGATGAAATCACATACATGGAACCATAGAATGGGGGTGTTTTTTTTTTTAACAAGGATGGGATTGTTCACATTAAACCACCATTGTTGATGGTTAAAAGCCCCCTTTTGTATCATATTGCTGGTTCTATGTCTAATTATTGTATATCCCTATACTTTAGGTTACTCTAATGGGTATGACCATGGTTTTTTCAGATGTATTGAGATGTATTAAGACCCCCCACAAATTGGGATATGGGGCCCCGTTTCGACCGCCGTTCGACCTATGGTTAAATCTATCCATTTTCAACTGGAACCGCACTTCCAAGTAGGACATGATCTAGAATATTGTTGCATATTCCTATTGTACTGTATGGTCCCAAATCTGTTAATCCCATTTCCCTTTCATATTCCCATTCTGTCCCAGTCATATGTCTCATTCTCATTTTTTCATCCCCTACAGGATGGGGCCCCTAAGATAGCTAAGTTGCCTTTATAAGTCCCTGAGTAAAGTCCCTTATAATGGTATACAAATAATACAAACCAACAAACATCGCTTTTTGTGCCGCAACCTGTACTAAACCATACAGAAAAAACCCTCCACTCTGCAGGAGTCCGCTGCCACCCGCATCGGCGAAACCTGATCAGCTTCGACCTGGATGTTCAGGCCGCAGACTCGTGCGAGAGGCGCCACCGCGGAGCGTGTATGGTGGATGTCACCGACGATAAAACCAAGGATTCTATGGGAAAATCAATGAAACATTTATAGAGATCCTGTATTCTATGGGAAAACCAATATCTATGGGGATTTGACAATTTATAGAGGTCTTTTTTGCATCATACCAGATGATTTCCCAACGGTGACTGTTAAGTTTCAATCCCGGGTGTGGGAGCGCGCCGCTTTTTAACAGCCCTGAAAACCGGAATGGAAGCCTGGAACCCTGGAACCCGCGGGTTGCAAAGCTGGGTTAAACGGTTGATTAGTTACCATCTGGTTATTTAACAGTTCGCCATGGAAAGATCCACCATTTTATAGCTAGGCAAACCATCTATTTCTGTGGGCCATGGCTTCCATGGCAAACTGTTAGTCATAACCAGAGGGTATTTGACAGCGATTTCTGTTTCAACCGTCTCCTGACAGTCTCTTCTGGCTGGCGAGTTTGAGATGAGAAACCGTTCGTTGTTCCGGTTTTTGTGTCTCGTATGATCTCCAAAAATTGTGGATTCTGAAGATTCGATTCATCATTTTTATCGCTTCATGTTTTTCCAATTTTGGTTACCATCTGGTAAACTAACATAGCTTTGGAAGAAAAATCCATGTCCAATAGGGAAATCATCTATCAATTGGCATTTTCCATGGCTATGTTAGTTTACCGGGCATATTGGGATCTCTCTTTTTTTATCACTGACATCACGTTAGAAGAACCAGCTGGCGCTGAAAAACCCCGCGAGGCGAAAGTCTCTGGCGAAGGCGCTTCTGCTGGGACTTTCACTGCTCAGGGCTTGACCAGCATGAGAAGTGGCTGCAACTACGAGGTTTTATCTGATCAAAAACCGATCCTTTACCCTCCAATGGACCCTTGACCCTGCCAGATACCCTCTGGTAATTTAACATAGCTATTGAACATGGCAATTTATAGTGGATTCTCCCATTAAACATGGTGATTTTCCATAGCCATGTTAATTTACAAGAGGGTAGTTGGAAGAAAGTTGTTTCCACCAGTTCCACTGTGATCCAGTTCTTAACCACTTCTTAACCAACAGATGGAAGATACCCATGTGTCCATCATTGTTCCGGGTTAAATACATACATAACATGACCATACATTACTTACCATACACTACCATACATAACATAACATAAGCATACATCCATCCATCCATACATCCATCCATCCATCCATACATACATACATCCATCCATCCATCCATACATCCATCCATCCATACATCCATCCATCCATCCATCCATACATCCATCCATCCATCCATCCATCCATGCATACATACATACATACATACATACACATACTTTACATATATAACACATATAACATATAAGTGTCAATATAAGTATTGTAAAATTATGTATGCAACGTGACATCACGTGACGTCACGTCAAGTCACGTAATGTAAATACTGTCATTTGACATCTCCCATGGAATCTGATTCGAAAACATTCTCATTACATCCCACAACACATGGAAAAATCTGTTAATTTAAAACCAACAATAAACCGCTCTTAAAATTAACATGTGTTTACTATTTTATTGTTTCAAGAATCCTTTTGTGTTAAATTGAGTTTGTCATTTGACGTAATCATGACCTATCCAGGTCTTCGTGGTTGACTGGTTCATAGTTTTGAGCAGCCATGAGAGCCGGATATGGATATAGATTCGATTGAACCCATGCCTCACCTTTGTCTGTAATC